CGGTGGCCCTGTTTCCATGATTATTCCGTCGCGAATCGCAAATACCGGAACGCGCGTATCCGATAAGATCGCAGAGATTCGGCGGTATTCTTAAATGAATTTCGACCATCGAGATTTGTTTGTGCTAAAAATCTACATCCGTTGCCCTGGCGAAAGAGCATTATATGCATACGACAACTTCTCTCAATTTCTATTTCAGGTTCCGCGAGAGAGAAAGACGTGCATATTTGGCCTATTATCGCCCCCCCGCGCAAAACTAACCTCTCCCCACCACCCCTCGCGAACCAAACCTCTCCCCACCCTCCTCTGAGCTGGGAAACCGCCATGAAAGCTTCGCCGTTCGACACGTAGGCATTTCGATCGTCGAGTGCGCGACGCCGGCGACATCTGTCGGTACAGAAACTAACTAATGACGAAAACAATTCCCCGGTCGCTAAAGTCTGATACTTGGTATACTTCGATCGCTAAAAGTGGCAAAATATGTTGTACAATTTTATGCAGAAAAAGTATTTATATAAATAAATATGTAATTAAATAAATGAAAAATGCATAATTAATAATAAATTAATAATTCTCAAAGTTTTTGGAAAAAAATTTTGAATTGGATTTACAATTTTATAATTTGAAATATTATATAATTATATAATAATTATTATATTATTATATAAATATATAATATTTATATAATATATATTATTATAATATTTATATAATATTTATATAATAATGTTATATTTATATAACAATAATATAACAATCATATAAAAATCATGTGATAATAATAAAAAACAATTTTATGAAATACTTGAATTGAATATTTGAATTCCATAACTAAAAGAAAAAAAATCGTTTATGGTGCAATAAAAAATCTTTTATGGTGTAATATTTATATAACTTTATAGTATAATATTTATTTCTTAACAAAATTTTATGGTATAATATTTATTTCCTGATAAAACATTATTAATATTTCAAATCAATGATGTTTAACTTGAAATTGTTATCGTTGAGAATAAAATATCCTTTATCGACGATTTGCGCAGCTTATCGACGCCTGAAAGGGTCGTCAGCCTGTTATCGGCAAGGGACAGTGCCGCGCGCGATACGAAATTAAAAAATAAATAGAAGATGCATAGAGAGAGGGAGAGAGAACAAGAACGATGAACCCTATGTGTGTGTAATCGCGCAAGGGCCGACGGCCCCTTCTCAAGGCGAGCAACTCTCTCATGAGAGAGATTATAGCATTTTTCTGGCGCCATTTTTGCCGTTCGTCGGTCGGGCCCTTTAGCCCTTCCCTTCCCAAGACTCAGCGGATCCGACCAGGTCTAATGCGCTTAGAATTACGCGCAGAAAATAAGACCGAACGCTTTTTTCTAGCAATTATATTCTCTTTACTTTCTGTTCTTAAAATGAAACAAGTATACAGAGTGCTCCACAATATTTTAATTTAAAAAAAAAGAAAATTTCTATAAATATGAACTCAATTTGTTATCTAATTATATTAATAAATTGTATTATTAATAACTTGTTGTATTATTTGTAAAATAATTTTAAATCATACAAATAATTTTTAATAAAAGTAAGATTTCTCACAAATGAAATAAAATTCAGCAGAATAAAGAATTAAAAATTATTATAATTAATTAGTAAGATATATTTCTTGGTTGAGAGATGTTGAGCCAAATTTATTAAAATTAATATTCCATCTTTATATAGAAAGAGTTTCATATATTTCAAATAATCAACTTTAATACTTTATATTAACAATTTAATATTATACAATATAACATTTTAATATTTGGCTGTAATAGAAAATATTTAATAATAATAAAATATTAATAAAAATTAATAAGAATTTAAGAATGAGTATTTAATAAAAGTAAATATTAATTTTACCAAAATTAATAGTTACATAATATTATACTTTTTATTAATTATAAATATTTTTGATTAATTAATTTAAATAACTAAATTTTATTTAATCTCTTTCATCAAAATTGAAATTGTAAGATCACTCTGTATAAACATGTAATGACTATTGTTAAACTCTGAATTATGATCAGAACAAAATTCCATTCAAAAAGCGATGTACATCTTATAATGCACATATAATTAAAAGAGAAATTGTATTTGCACTCACCACTGGAAGGCATTAAAGTGGAAATAAACAAGACCCAGGCCATACAGAAACGAAGCATCCTTCCAGTAGTCGCCTTTCAATGAGTAGAATTTCTGATACGCTGACATTGCTGTAACAATTAAATTTATTACAATTTATATCAAACCATATTAAAATCAATAAAACAGAAATTGTTAATTCAGGACAACAATTCAAAAAAAGTAAATAAAACATTTTTATAGAACTTAATTTTGAGAAATTTTTTGTCACTATGATTTAATGAATTTTTTGTTATTAAATCAATAATTAATACTTATATAAAAAATCCATTATCCTAAAGCATCTTATGTTTACATAAAAATATTTTATTGTTTATAAAGAATTAAAAAACTGTCTCGTACACTCAATAACATTTCTACCATTACATTTTTATTCTTTTAAAACTTAAATCAAACGACCAATTCATAATTTAGTCTGAATTTTTAATAGACATAATATACAATATCTAAAATATTCACAAAACTGTACCTTTGTTATAATCTTCTAAAAGCAGATGAAAGTGTCCCAGTTTGCAGTAGGTTTTAGGATCGATGCTTATACCCTTATCCTCATCCTCATTCTCTTTGGACTCATCGGAACTCGCTTTTGTAATATCCGCTTTCCTGCGTTGCTTCTCTGCCTGTGCTTGAACTAGCATACGCTCCAAGTACTTGATTGCACGAACAACTACGGCCTTCCTCTTTGTCTGTTCCGGAGAGTTCAGCTTAAGGAAGCCAAACTGTCGACTGCATTTACAAAAGAAAAATTGCTTTTATCAGAACACATGAGATTTGCGATACACATAGATTCTATCTGACAAACTAACAGTTATATGTTCGACATGCATATTTTAATAACTTATACACTAATCCTTAAGAATATTAAAATCTTTTCAAAACCTTTTAACACTAACATGTGAATTTTCGCTTAAAGATTATATTTATATATTTAGATACTTTTAATAATTATTATAATTAATAAATCATTATATTTAGATACTTTTAATTGTACAAAAATTCTGAAAAAAATCATCAATATTTCAGAATGTGTTAAAATGCTTATCTCTAGAAGCTTGTTTTTTTCTGATAAATATTTCCTAATAAATATTTCCTAATAAATATTCAAAGCGAAATATTTTTTTCCTTGAAAATGATATTCCTTATCTTGAAAAAAAAAAAAGAATATAAATTGAAAGATAGATCGGAAGTATTTTTAATCGGAGGAAGTGCACATGACACTGCCATTCGAAGTTACTTCTGAAATTTTCATGTTAATCAAGGTCTACGCGACCCTGGGAATAAATGATTCCCAATCGGGATCAGGATCGAGATTAACCTCGTCCTTTCGCAGGGAAAAATTTTGCGGCGTATTCGCGCGATACAAGCGGAAAGGGTGTCAGTAGGTTGCGCACGCGAGCGCGCTGTCAAACGCGCCGCATTTCTAGGTTAGGCCGTGTGACGTGTGCGTAAATGTCGCGCGAACCATCGCATCCTGGAAATGCGATCGCGGGGAGAGAAAGAGAGAGAGATAGACAGAGAGAGAGAGGGAAAAAAGATTGTCGCGCTTTTCTTTTTACCTGTCCAGCTCCGACAGCGTCTGCAACTCCTGCGGCGTGAGATTGATATCGTCGGTGTCCTGTGCCATTTTCCACTCGCGCTCGCGAAGGAAGGTGACGACGACGTTCACAACAGCATCCCCGGCGAGAAGGAGGATCGCGACGACCCGACGACTCCGGAAGAGGCCCGATCTACGCCGTCGACCAAGTAGCGCGCGCGCGGCGCCGTCACCTCATCGCGGCGAGTCGAGGATATCGACGGAGTAGCGGCGGCGGCGACGGCGACGACGACGACGGCAACAGCGCGAACTGACGCGACGCGCACGGACGCACCGTGTGTACTACGCCGCTCGCCGCGAGGGTCGGCGCCCGACTGCGCCCGAGCGCGCCCGAGCGCGGCCGAATAGCCGCGGGACGCGACTGCTCGAGACGCGCATGCGCGGGGGTAAAAAGACTGGCGCGAAGCGTCATTTGAACACTGGCGAGATTAAAATTCGTATTGCCCTCGTCAAATTATGCATTGAAGCGTAAAATTATTGTAGAATTATGAATCGAAATTTAATTACAAATTTTATGTATCGTACTAGGTTGCTATATAAGTTGATAAGAAATAAATAAATAAATATATATAACATATATATCACATAAATATGTTATATATTACATTAAGAAGTGTTTGTAATTCAATTTATATATATATATATATATATAAATTAAAACAAAAATTATAACAAAATAATTCTTAAAGAGCTCGTTGACAATATATACGCTTTAGTTTCTTTAAGGAAAATAAATTTCCCTTTTTATGTAAGTGAGAATTTTCAAAATAACTGTCTCTTTTTACCCTATTATTTAATACTTTATTTTATCGAAAAGAGATCGAACGCAAAGAAAACAAGGCAAGAATAGAAATGCTGTTTACTCGTTATTCTGCAAAGAAAATAATATTTCTACATTTCAAATTTAAACCGCGAGAGCAAGAGAGAAGAAAAGACAAAAGGGGAACATTCCATTTGACTGATCACAGCCAATTATATCAATCTATGTCTTGAGTAACCGTCAACGATTGACCAATCAAAGTTTTATTTTGAATTGGCCAATTGGCAGTCTGGTCGATCGGATGCCATTTGTTTAGAGACTCTTGCACAATGCTAGCAACAGGTACAAAGGAACAAAGCATAGAAACAATTGGGTGGGACCCGATTGACACGTCGCCAATTGACCAATTCAAAATAGGACTCTCTGATTGGTTAATCGTTGCTCTCTAGGCATAGGTCGATATAATTGGCTGTCAATAGCAACTAGTCAATCGCAACGTGGTCAAAGAGGAACGCGGGACGCTCTGCCATTAATAAAGACGATCTCAATATACCACGTTGGAAGCGTAAGTAACTGTTTTATTTTATCCTATAATTTCATTCTTATAAATTGATATCTTGTTTTCTAAACTGAATATATATACATACAAGTACAACGTACGTGAATATATATATAAATCACCATTTTGTGAATATAAATTTACATTTTTGTAAGAATTGTTTTTGTAAGAAAGTTGAACTGCTGACTGGCAAAAGAACTTATTGTATCATTACTATGGCGACGAGTTCGGGATGTTCGAGAAAGAGCAATCATTTTCCTCAGAAGAAATAAAGAGAGAAAATAGTTCATCAACAATTGACAATGGAGAACAATAAGCTTATTTTTTCTTTGTTATTTATTTTATTTTATTTTTGTAAAAAAGATATATCACTATTAAACAACTTCTATATTACAATAATAATATTATGCTCCATTAATTCATACAAAATCATAAGAGTTTTAAGATATAATTAATTAGTTATTAAAAAATATTATTAACTTAAAACCATTATGTTGACAGGAATATACAAGAGAAAATGAGTTTTTTGGAAAGAAATCGTGTGATCAAGTATAAATCTTTATCGGATCTCGAGAAGAAGTGGCAATTCTTTATCTTTCTACAACCAGAGTTTATTTCTCAGATTCATATGATTATGGCTTTTAATGACAGTAATTAATTTTATTTCTTTGCAATTATTTCTTATCTTAGTTAAATTGTTATTTATGTTTTAATATATTAATCTAGATGCAGCTATGATTGTGACAAAAGACAAAATGGTATATGGTTTAGGCTACAATGGACATGGTCTATTGGGGATAAATGATGAAAATGACATTTTTCCGCCGAAAAAAATAGAAGAATTATGTGGAAAAAATATAAAGACTTTCTGCTGCTATGATTCTTGTAGTCCTGTATTTGCACTTACAGAAGAGGGAAAGGTATTATGGAAATTGAAAACTTACAATCAAAATGTTTAATTGAGATTTTTTAAACTTATAAATAATTGCTTGAATAGAATTAAATATAAAAATTGTGTAAGTAATCAGAAATCTGGATAAGTTTACAGAGTATAATTGAACAAAGAATTAAAGTATAATTTGACAAGAATTATAATTTAACTGAAAATGAGAATTATTATATTTAATTTTCTACATTATATATTTAGTGAGACAATAATATACAGTTGTTAATTATATATTTACTTTTTACAATAACACGTATTATTTACTTAATATTTTACAGTTTTATTCTACAATAGAATATATATACAAAATATTTATTTTGTGACATCTTTGTTTATATACTAATTAAATGCCAAGACACCAAAATAATAACATTGGGTCTGTTCATTTTAGCTGCACTGCTGCACTAGTGCAATTAGTTAGAGTGAAAGAAAGTATGTTTGTCTCTTTCTAACTTATTGCGCTAGTGCAACAGTGCAGTTAAAACGAACAGATCCATTATCTTTTATAGATATATTCTTGGGGTTCCAATATAGATCGTAAATTGGGATTGGATTTGAAACCATCTAGAAAAATATACCTGCCTACTAAAGTTATAAATGAAGAATGCATAGACATTGCATGCAGTTCCGATCATGCTTTAGCTTTAACTAAAGATGGAAAAGTAAATGAATATTCAAATAAAGCAGTATAGTAATCTTAATTTTAAAATACAAGTTTGACAATTGTTTAATTTATTAATTTAGATTTATACTTGGGGAACTGAGAAATATGAGCAATTTCTTAATGAGGGCGCATCATATCGAGGGGTAGCTACCATATCGATAGGCTTTCCATATGAGGTGAAATTTAATTGCGAAACAGAGAAAATTATCTGCATTGCCTGTGGTGTAATGTTTAATGTGGTAATCACCGATAATGGTAAAGTGTATAGCTGGGGTTTGAATGGTGGTCGATTAGGATTGGGCCACTACGAGAAAAAGTTATCTCCATGCTTAATCTTCTCATTGGTAGATGTTAAAATAGGTAATACTTTTGTGAAAATATTTTTATAAAAATGTTAAATGCAAATGCAGATACCAGCAACAATTGCTAATATTAATGTTTGATTTCCAGTTAAAGTAGTCTGTGGAGCAATGTTTACATTGGCTCTCACTGATAAAGGAGAAGTCTATTCCTGGGGTGTTGGATTATATAGCAAAAGAGAAATGAATCCTACCAAGGTAATTCATTTATTGTCATAAGGAAATCAAGAAATATAAAAAAATTGATATAAAATAAAATATGATAAAATTGATATATATTTTTTTAGGTGAATATGTCTAAAATAGGGAAGGTGTCAGACATTGCAGCACAATACAATATGGGAGCCGCTTTTGACGAAAACGGAAACGTCTTTATATGGGGCAAATATTTTGATCAAGAGGTTTCATTTATCACACAGCTTTCGAACATAAGCGATATTTTCAAATATAATGTGTCGTATATTATTAATAATTCAATTGATTATGATAATACGAAAGGAAAATCAAATATATTGGAATGTCTGGAAGAAGCGTTCAATGATTCGGTATGTTTTGTTTTCTATCTCATTTCTGCTTATTGTGCATATAATTTTTCTCATTGTAAAATGTTGAACAAAATCAAGATGTTGAAGTAAGAAAATAGTAATTTCAAAATTTACTTACAAATATACTCTCTCTTCAAGTCTACTGATATATACTTTATAATATTTAATATTATAAAAATTAATATTATGTATTCGTACATATAAAGAGTTATATGTTTCTAATGGTTTTATTTATTTTCTATTGCAGTCGACAAGTGATCTTACAATACAGGTAGAGAAACAATCTATTCATGTTCATAAAGCTATTTTGATGATTCGTTGTCAGTATTACAGAAATATGTTCAAATATAATTGGAAGGAAAACGATCAAAAGTAAATATTTATAAAAAAATCAATTATACTTTTATTCAAAGTTTCATAAATTTATTTTATTAATTACATTGACACATATGTATGTTTTCTAAACAGTATCATCACACAGGACCAATTCTCCTACAATGTATATAAAGCTTTCTTGGAATATCTATATACTGGCATAATCAATCTGCCTTCAGAGAAAGTATTAGGTGAATTCATTACTTTATAAATCTCAGTTAAATTTGAGTTACAATTCACTATTAAAATAAATGTTACATTTATTACAGAACTCGCACAGTTAGCTGATGCATATGGTGAAACAAATCTTAAGGAAAATTGCGTATTATTGATAAAACAAACTATAACTGTTTCAAATGTAGCCATGATTTACAAAGAAGCAGTCCAATATAATTCACAGGTGAATTTATAATATGACTTCTTATCATAAAGTATACCATGTATGTACATATGTCAAAGTATAATGTATATATATGCATGTTTTTAGGAAGTAGAAGAGATCTGCTTCCAATTTGCACTGGATCATCTAACAGATATGGTACAAACGGAAAACTTTATTAACTTAAACGAAGATATAAAAACCAATTTTTTAATTAAAGCAGCCAAAGTTGGTGCTTTTAAGAAATAGATATTTTTTATCTAATCATTTTTTAATCTAATTTTCTGAATTAGAATTTTTATTCACAATTTGATATAACAGATATATTTACTTTTTTAAAGTAAATGTAGAATAAATTTTTTTTTTTCATAATTGAGTATATAAAATGAAATAAACTATTATATTTAATATAAACATAAAACATGTTTAACAAAATTTTGTTTCAATTTTAATTGATAAAATTAATAATCTATATAACATGAAAAGCATATATATATACCCAGCAAATCAAAATATTGTAGCTACATTGCGGCAACATTGTTGCAATGTTGTAATATTGCCGCAATATTGCTGCAATATTCTGTATTTGCTGGGTATATATATATATACACACACACACACACACACATATATATCTGTATGTGTGTAGTATAGATTATTAATTTTGTTTATTAACTGAAATATAATAGACATAATATTTAATACAAAACAAAAAATTGATGCTTTTAAAATATAGTTTATTCGCTTTTTTAAAATTAAATCAAAATGATTATAACGTTTTTATTTTTTATATGAATTGAAAATATTCAATATAATCAGATTCATTTAGTAATAAATTTTATTTCATTTTATATCTCTATATTTTATACATATATATAACATCATATAAGTATTTATTTACTTCATGTAGATTCTTCTAATTATAGAAAGCATTCTATGAAAAACACTGCCATGATCACTCTCAGGTTTCTCTGTGACATATTTCACAGTTACACTAGTCTGTGATAATAATTTTATCACGTAATTTTTAATATATAACACATTATTTCATAATATTTAACGATACAACTCTAACATAATGAGATACATAAAGAGAAGAGAATAAATAGAAGATAAGAAAAGCATATAACAATGTTATTTATATGTATAATTGTGCAAAAGTGTGTAAAGGTGAAAGTACATAAAATTGCATAACCATAAGCATAAGGAAATTGATTGGTTCATTTTCTTATGCATATTTGTGGATTAATTTTATGTGCTTTCATCTCAAGTAATTGTGTAAAAGTTCAAAAAGACTGCAGTAGCATACAAGAATAAAAATAATGAAATTATTAATTGATTTATTATTTATATTTTTGATTATAACGGATCATTTCTTTCGAATTATATTAAATATAAAAAAATAGGTAAAACAGTAATAAAGTAAAAATTATTCTCATTTTCGGTGAAAAAGTATTTTCTATCTTAACAATAAAAAAATATAAACTCTTATAATATAAAGCTACCGAAAATGTCTTATAAAATTCAATTAATAATAGCAATGTGTAATAAATATACAATGCGATTATATTTTTTCCCAAAATTCTGTTAAAATATTAAAATCTATTAGGAAACTTTGTAAATTAAATAAACAAATAGTTTTCACGAGAATAATATACAACAGTTACGAAAAAAATAAACTAAATTAATTTTAAGAAATTATCATACTTTCTTAAACAAGCAATTTTTTGTGATATTTTGATTTTAGACATACTTTTAACTTTCGAGCTTTGGAAAAAAAATGTGTAATGTTTATGTTGTTTCTTTCTGAATAATTCTCATAGTTTTTATCATTTTTATCTATAATAATTATATAGAAAGAATCGGAATAAAAACTTATATTATAATTATGAATTAAAACAAAAGTTATAACAAAATAATTCTTAAAGAGCTCGTTGACAATATATACCCTTCAGTTTCTTTAAGGAAAATTTCCCTTTGTATCTGAGTGAGAATTTTCAACATAAATATCTCTTTTTACCCTATTATTTTATCAAAAACTTTATTTTATCAAAAAGAAATCGAACGCAAAGGAAACAAGGCAAGAGTAGAAATGCTGTTTACTCGTTAGTCTGCAAGGAAAATAATATTTCTACATTTCAAATTTAAATCGCGAGAGAGAGGAAATGACAAAAGGGGAGCATCCCATTTGATCACAGCCAATTATATCAATCGATGTCTTGAGTAACCAGTAACGATTGACCAATCAAAGAGTTCTAGTTTGAATTGGCCAATTGGCGACCTGGTCGATCAGCTGCCATCCGGCAAAAAGTGCAAGAAGTGCAAATAAACGAAGAGCCGTTCTGCTCTCGAAATTATCACAAGATATTATTTTTACGTTCGATCTGACAGACCGAGTTGCCGCCTCTAACTGGCTGCGAGAAGCATTTTTGTCGAGGAGGTGAGTGTCGTTGGATTAAATGTCGAGGAATATTGTACGTTTTGATCGAAGTATATCTGTATCTCTGCGATGTGATGCGGCCTAAAGTGCTCGATATCATGCCGATCAAGAGTGTCTTTCGCTCAGGAATGAAAAAACTCAAACGGTAGTCGTCCTTTGTTTCCTTTCAGTTCGTCATTTCTTCCTCCTGTCAAAATTTTCTCCGTTTTTCAATCTCGACTTACGTCTCTCTCTCGTCGCGAAAAATATGAAAAATTATCGAAAAATTTGATGAAAAGGTTTCGTCGCAAATTCCACACGAAATGTCGTCATCAATATATTTGCGATTGTGACGTAGATTCGCGTTTCGAATAATAACGCATTTTAACGGAATTTCTATTTTAATCCTTTTAATTGCTCATGAGATAATTGGTAAAATAATTGTTATTAGCTAAGAAACTTGGAGGAAATTTTATTTTATTCCATTTTTTCCATTTATTTCAATTTTATTATTTTACTCCATTATTTTATTTCATTTTTATAGATAAAATTTTATACATTATCTATTTTTTTTCCCATGTGCAAAATTTTATAAGAGTAAAAAAGTAAAATTTATATTATAAACTTGTATGTAACCTGTCGTACCTTAAAATTAAAAAATTACGGAGTAAAATACACAATTCACACATGTATTTACACAATTCTTTATTTAAATACAAGTTTCTTTATTGTAATTGTAATTTCTTTCCTTTTTTCGACAGCAAAATGAGTGTGCCTGCGGCTAAAAGAAATAAAGAAGACGCGAACAAAGAAGCCTACAGTATAGATGCCGCAAAAGAGGCGAAATCCATCTTGGAGAAGATCATGGGCGATGTGAGCAAGTCATCGGCGACGAAACAGATCATCATTGGTAGCACATCAGGATGGTATATTTTATATGCAATTATTTGTTAAATTAAAAAAAGCATTTATCTGGTTTAAGGTATTTCTTGTACTAATCATGGATATTTTATTAATTAGGGTGACTGGATTTATTACCATGAAGGTCGGAAAGATAGCAGCCTGTGCAGTTGGTGGTGGAATTATCATGTTGCAAATCGCTGCACATCAAGGTTATATTAAAATTAATTGGGACAAGATTACAAGAAAGGCTGAAAAAATAACGGATAAGGTGGAAGAAAAGATAACCGGCGAGGGGCCAAAATTCATGGATAAGGTAAGTCTCAAATTGTTATAATTCCACTAATTATTATGATTGAGTGATATTACTAAAAATTTTTTGTTTTTTTTATTTAGCTTTTTAGAAAAGAAGGATTGACAACTTTGTTTCTCTTGAGAAAATGTATCGACACAATAATTATTTCGATGAACAGAAATTACTTTAAATTGTATAATTTTGTTTTTAAAATTTAACAAATGTCTTACATCGATTAGATAACTTATGAAACCCAAGAAACATTTTGCATATATTTCTTTGCATCTCTTCACAATTATAGTGATTTTGTTATTTGCAGGTAGGGAAACTATGGAGGAAGAACTCATTCATTGCGACAAGTTTTCTTGGTGGTTTCATTATCGGTCTATCTTGGTGAAGTAATGAACAGTAACTTTGAAGTTTTATGCAAAAATGTAAACGGACATTTAGTATGTTGCCATTATTCATATTAATATGTATTACAGTATTACACTATCTACCGTAATAATAACATACAATGTCTAAATATCATTGAGACTTTAATATCTGTAACAAGTCGATATTAATATTACTTTTAATGTCAATGAAAATTATATAATATCGATATTACTATAATTTTTGTATAATTGTAATAAAAATGTATAAAATAAAATTATAAATTTATATAGAGTTCAAAGAGTTATCGACTCCATTCCAGAGCGTAAATCCCGATTTACTGATCAAAGTTATCGCGTTCCAGGTCGAGAGATTCGTCGATAGAAAGCTGGACAAAGCTGAGCAATTGCTGAAACAAGGAGAGAACCGCACACGACGCTGGTATCACGCCTTCATCGGCGACGATGATATCTTCCAACCAAAGGAGATTCACTTCTTTCTAGTTTCGTTCGCGGCAGGAGTCGCGCTTGGTATCGCTACTGCTAACTAGGTAGTAAATTGCTGCACTCTGAATGCAACCAAGAGAAAGATTGATATTTACGCTGCACCAAAAGACAACTACTCCGTCGTCATCATCGATCACGATGACGTCGTCGACGAGTACAATAGAACTATCATAAATGAAGTGAAGAACAAGATCAATGAACTGAAGAAATGGGTGGCGCGGACTACGCTTAATCCTAGATAAGTAGATTTATTTTTTAGCCAATGAGTAAAACTCACTTGTGTACGTTAGAATTGCTTTCAATTGATTTTACACATAACTATGTTTAATATTTTCATATCAAATGAAAATACATTACGAAACATAGATTGCTTCATCTGTGAACAAAATTAATAAGCAGAGTCCGGATTTTGGTGCCGTTTTCCCCACTCCAAGTGCATGCTAGCGGCTGAGCGAAAAGCAGTATGTCTATGTCGTCTATGCCAGTCTAGTGATAGCAAAGAGGACACCGTCGCGTAGAAAAGGAAAATATAATAATTTATTATATTATTTTATATTATTTTATATTATTTTATATAATATATATTATATCATTATAATATATATTATTTTATATATTATGATTATATATTATAATATTAAATAAACATATATTTTATATTAATATATATTTTTTTTTTGACGATACTTTCGCGGCGCTCAGCCGCTAGCATGCACTTGGAGTGAGGAAAACGGTACCAAGATCCGGACTCTATTAATAAGTACAAATAACGTGAATTTTACTCATTGTTATATCAATAATTTCTCTAGAATTAATACATCAAACAAATGAAAGTCAGTAATATTTTTTCTCGTCTCTGAGATCATAAAGAGGATCAACTTATTTAAAATTTGATAGACACTGCAATTATTCATTTTATTCTATTTTGTGATCTTTGCAAAAATGGAAATAATTTTTACAAAAAAATTTTTAAATGTTGGTCAAGTTTACTGTTGCCATTCGCACAGATATGTATGAATATAAAAGTATAGTGTGCGTATAAAATACAATAAGGAGATTTCTTGTTCGTTCAGAATGCAGCAAGAAATTAATCTTAGGAGATACAAACCTATTGTTAGTACATTATATACTTGTCTTACTATTGTAAAGAATCCCGATTTTTCCTTTTCCCGTTATTTATACATTTAATCGATCTACATTTCTATCGCGTCATTTATATATACTCTTTCTTATACAAATACCTTAGTACACATGTATTATCTCAATAAAAATTACCTAACGATGTTTGCTGCAAATTTAATATTTGATCATTCATTTTACTAGTCATGTTTGTCGTAGTAATAATTTAACAATTACTCAATTCATCTATATATAAAAGTTTTTAAATTATTTCTAAGTGTGTACATATTTAATTATTTTACATTTTAGTTCCTGCATAGAATATTGCGTTTAATATACTTAAAATTTTGTTTTAGCATTATTTAGATAATAGAAAGCTTTTTTCTACTATAATTTAAAAATTACCAATCATGTCTTCCTCTAATAGTTTGATATAAAAATTATTGATAGATTAATATGGAATAGAATAAAGTGTAAATGGAAGAAAATAAATATATACATATTTTAAAACAATAAATTATATACTTATGTAGCAGTATAAAACATTTGTCTCATAAGATGTCAAAATACTAAAGTGTTTATCATGTCTCAAAATCTTTTCAGACACTGCATTATTATAGTCCTGAGGCGTTTACGAATCTTTTGATCCCCATTGCAGAAAATGTGTGTAGAATTGTCTCCAATCTGAATAAGAGTGTCCTCGTCTTGCTACAAGAGAGAGTAAACACATATAATTTTATGTAGAATTGCCTTTTATATCAATTTTGCGTGCACGCATGTTTATTTATTAAAAGGTCATTTGGAAAACTATTAAGATGTATCGAAAACCAAATCATACCAAATGAATACTCGTAGAAGTGGGACTGTGTTGTAACTTGGCGCCTTGAAAACCCTCTTGATTGAGCTTCTGCAGCAACTCCTGTGGATCCAAAATCCCGTATTCGTGTTTCCGCTCCTTCAATACTTCCTCTTTGACGGGTGCAGGTGAACCTGACGATGCCTTCCGCTTTCCGCTCTGCCTATCTTCTATATTCTGGAGTTTAACATATTTTCAGAAACTTTGTTATTCATCTTGAAGAATTATAAATGTAAAATTACATATTGCCTTTCGATCAAATTGATATTTTTTTTCTATAATGTGTATTAATTATCTTGTATTAATTATATGTATTAATTATCTCATCAATTACCTTTATCGTATATACATTATCTTTGACCTCGAGCTCTCCGGTAACGGAAGCGAGACTTAAACCGGGTCGCACTTCATTTGGTATGATGTTGCTAGCTAATTCCGGCTCGATAAATACACGACCTTTTTTTCGCTTCAACGGCAATTTTATCACCTCTCCACGTTTAAACGTAATCAAAGGTTTTTCCTTGAACGGAAAGATAGTTGATACATTCGTACTTTATACACATAATTTTATAATATAAATAATAAAAGATTTTAACTGCGAAATAATTTGTTACATTAAGTGGAAAATAATACAAACTCCGACAGGTTCGATGACTAGATCCGTTCTATGCGGCGCCGTTAAAGGAGGTTGTGTATAAACTTCTGGAATTACTAGATGCTCCGGTTTCAAATCTCGTATGAGCTTATTGGCCTGGGTAAAATTGAGAGAAGTGTCGATAGGGCAATGCACGGCTTTCATAGCCAACGGTTGAAACGGAGCGAGGGCATCCAAATACGGAAAGTCTGGTTCTGCGATAAAATACGATGTGAAAAAAGATATGATTGAAAAAAAGGCTATTAAATATTATATAATGTAAAAAATTATAAATAAAATAGTAATATATTATTGAAATAAATATGCAATTTCTCGCATTAAAATGAGTAAAATAAGAAGAATTCAGAATTCATAATATAAAAGAAAAGGAGATACTTAGAAAGTTAAAAATGTATATAAATATTTATTATAAATTGAAATATATCAGAAAGAAATGTTTATAGAACTATCTACATTGTGCGGATGCATTACATTTTTTTTTATTCAGATATATTAGATGTATAAAATTCTATTTTTTATGGAATTCAATATTTGTTGTAATAAATTTACATTTATAGTTTAATCATGAAAGTAATCCTTATTATTTTTCAGCACTTCCATCTTTAAGGCAACTTATAGCTTGTGAATCGATGGAAAATTTGATTTTTATTTGCAATGAACTCAATTCAATTCAGTCAAATCATTTTCTTATTTTTTCTTATTTTTTTAACATCTTTAAATTTTCTATCAGACAAGACGTGCTATATCGATTGGAATAAATAATTTGAAGGCGCTATGTCCAATGAATATTCCAAATAAGAATTAACACAGTCAAGTTTCAATGTCTTTGATAAATTTCGCGATATGAGACCGAATTATCATGTAAAAATTTAAATACAAAATTTATTTTTTCTGAGACCTCTCTCTGTAAAAGTGATTTTCTTTCCAATTCCTCGCTCAAATACAATTACTCGTTGGCGACAATTTGCAATTACTATTTCGTCGGTTTCAAATAAATTATACTTGACTAAAAGTCTTGTTGAACTTTATGTGATAAAAGTGACAAAGATAACATTACTAGAACTTGGCTGCTTATCAGAAAATTTAGAAATGAAGAAACAAGAAAATAACTTGATGAATTTATCATGTAAAGTCAGATTTTCTATCCAGAATCTATAATTTGCTTAAAAGATGGAAGAAAATGCTGAAAAATAATGATCACTTTCATGATTAAACTGTATATGTATAATTTGTTAATAAATATTGAATCTTTCAGAACAAATAATAGAAAATTTATTTATACATCTAATAACATTGTAGATGAGAAACAAATTTGCTAACTAACTTTCTAAATAACTCATGTAAATTTCTATATATATTAGTATATATACCAGTGAAAATGACAGTATGCAAGGGATTGTTGCCCCACAATTGCACAAAGTGCACGGCATCACCGAATCGGAGACTGGGATGGCCGCAAAAAACTACGCACGGTTGTCGATAGTCATTGCTGAATCCCTCGGCGTACGTGGATGTATAATGCTTTAATCGGGCGTTCTTCACGAGGAAAGCGTGTGGGAACGGTTCCTCTGGAAGATAAACTTTGTTTTGCTTATTTGTTGACAGCCTAGAAGTAAAGGATAATAATAAACGGAATAAAAAGTTGATGAAGAATATATCGGAAATTTCTTAGTGTACTAAGTAGCCTTATTTATTCATACCACTCGGCCAGGATATTCGAGTAAGCCAAGGATGTCTCTGCCACTGGTGAGATGAAAAATAGAGGAACCTGCGTGAAGCCTGATTTGTCCAAATGAGTGCTTAAGCATTCGAATAAATCATACACGACGCCAGAAGGATAGCAAGGTATCAGAACGCATCCACCGGCCCTGAGAGTTACAGCTACAAAATTTTTTCCGCAAGAAAAAAAATTAAGCTTATTAGAGCAATTAATGGAATAATAATATTTCGATAAAATCGACAACATTACTTCTTTGCAAATGCAAATAAAAAAAAAGTACTGATCAAAGATATTACATCACTTATAAATACAGAGAATTATTTTAATGAACAAAAATATATATAAATATTATGAAATTATATTTTATTATTATTTTATGCTTTAATAATTTTATGAATATGACTTGGAGAAAAAAAATAAATTTTATTTACTTGCATTTGTTTTATATTTTTTTAGAGTGATGCAATATTTTTGATTAATATTGTAAAATTTCCTTTTATTGTCTGCGCAATTTTTATGATTTCGAATGTTCGAGTATGAAAGTAGGAATTTCGATAATTTATAAAATACCCCGATTAATCTTACCAACAGTCATACACAATTCTCCAAGCATCGTATCCGGATTAGCGGTCGGTGTTTGCGTTAGACCCGTTAGTATCAACATATTGGCGTGCTTCAATGTAGCTTGCTCCATAGGTCTCGGATGAGTAGTCAACGTGGACGAGCCGCTGACGAAAGCAACCTTTTCATGGTCACAGGATATCAGCCAGTTGCTGCTACCTAAACAGTAACCTGAGCTGATTGGCGTAACTGTTAATGCACCGTATATATCCTGGAAATAAATCAAATGTAAGTCGCTGTTTGTAAATGACTTCATGTGAATATTAATTGAGTTTTTGTTTTAATTAGAATTTAAGCTTTATCCAAAGTAAAATCTATAGTAGATTAGGAATCGATGTAACAAATAAATTAATTTTTTGTTACAAGATGTTAAAAGATAAACGCGAATCAGTCTATATTAATAAAAATTTTTAATATGTAATTATATTTTTATTAAATTAAAAATTGTATATAAATATAATTTAGTAACATTTAGATTTCCAAAGATTTTGTTTTAAAAATTTCACACATTAATTTAAACTAAAAAGATTTTGATTTTATTCTTTTTTAAATTGTAATGATTAGTATGATTTGATAACTAAAGCTATGACTTAATAAAAAATATCTTTTTGCATAAAATTATATAAATATATTTTAGTATTAGTTATTTTCATAGTTTTTGCCAGTTTAGTCCATTGAGTAAAGTCTGCAGCAATAAAAAATCCGGAATTTACTTTAGATTTTCCTACTCATTGAACTTTATCAGCCAACAAAAGACATTTCATACTAAGATATATCAGTGGCATATCAAAATTACCAGCTTTTGATCATATCCGACCATCTGAATGTGAGATAGTGCTGAATTCACAGCCGATGTGGAATAGATATGCCTCCAAGATTTCGGTTTAATAACATCTGCTAATGGAGGTGGCAACATATGCAACATTTCCTTCCAATGCTTGGCCATTGTCGCTTTTGGAGTCTGCTCGATAAATTCCACTAGTTCTTCCATAAAAAATCGTCCAATTTGTAAGGTCGGCTCAGTGGCATATATTATACCTTTAAATCATTATCATTTCTATAGATTATAATTTATATATATTTATTTATTTATGCTTTTTATGTTTAAGTACCTTTGAAGCCTGTGCCTTCCGTTATAAATGGTAGAGCAAGCATGCAGGTGTAGTTGGATATTAGAATAGCATCGATCTCTGAGAAATCAATTATTTTCTCCAAAGGAGGAGAAAATTCTGGAACTGAGTCTACAAACACTCTACCGCAACATTCCTTCAGCTCCTTTTTTTTTTAAATAAATACAATAAATAAATTAATATTATTTTTCAAAGTATTTCGATTTTTAATTACTATTTAAAATAACTTAAAGAGCAAATTTTATAAAAGAGTATATCGCAAACACCAAACGCTTTTCTCTGATTGAATACTAACTCCTTCGACTTGCCAATCTTGCTGATTGTCACGTGGGAACCATGTTGGTAAGGAATTAAACTTGCTACTAGGAACCATCGGCAAGGGCATAAAGTGTAAAATGGATTGCATGTTTAAACCGCAATCCAACATCATTGTTATTCCTTTGAAGCTTAAGACCAGGCATGGCTTCGTTGGCTCGCTTGATAGACAATACTAAATATAAAAGTCTCAATTAATTAATCTTATAAATATCAACTTAGATTATATTAATATCGCATTATCTGTTTGATCTTCTATCATTTGCTGTTTATCTTAATTTTTCTATAATATTTTTCTCAGCAAAAATTTACACACATGGAGATTTCAGTTTGAAATTGTCAACCACAATACAATCAGATATATTTATTACATAATTAAAGCGACTAGTAGATAAGCCAGTTTTATTTTTAATCGTATGCTTATAAGTTGTAAATGTCACTCATCGATTTTAAATTTAAGATTATATTTCTTATATTTTAAGATTATGTCAAGAAATTGTTACGCATCTCGAAAACATGTTTACTGTTTTTTTTTTTTTTCCTTAAATGGATATCTTAAATGAAAATGTTATATTTTTTCCTTAAATGAATATCTTAAAACAAAATGTTATATTAAAAGAAGCATAGTTACCAGTTTCATCACGAATTATTTACACAATTCACATAAGAATATCCAGTATGTGCGATTAAAAAATATACTTCAAAGCGACTTTCTTCGAATTAATTTTCTCTTCAGAGAATTTTTTGCGGGTCTGCTACTTCTAATTCATACATTTCTGTCTTGAATCGATTTTTATTCCATTTTTACGATAAGTTATTTCAAATCCAGCGAGGAGACGTCAGAATCCACTTTTAGGTTAATGTGATCCCCATGGACGTGAGAAATACAGAACATAGAATCTGTTCTTTTCTGTACTGCTGCACTAGTGCAATAAGTTAGAAAGAAACAAACATACTTTCTTTCACTCTAACTAATTGCACTAGTACAGCAGTGCAGCTGAAAAGAATAGACCGATAAAAAGGTTCGCTGCAGAAGAAGTGTAAAGACAACAGCCAATAGGAATAGGAAATAAAAACTATTCACCAATAAAAACGCGAGTGACTCGATTGACCACGTCGCTGATTGGCCAATTCAAAACAGAACTCTCTGATTGGCCAATCGTTGTTGGTTACCCTAGGCACAGGTTAATATAATATCAGAGAGAAAACTGAGAGATATCATGGCCTGCTTTTAGGTGATCCCTGAAAGCGATACTCCCTCTATGACATTGAAAACGTGGACATGAACTACAAAGCAAATGTCCATGAATGTTCTCAGAGGGTATCATGTGCACAATTTCTGGTTTCGTTCCGTGCTATGTGCACGAAATGCCGGTAACACCAGAGTATAACAAGACACTCATGTATATAAATTGATTGATAGTAAATAAATTATATAATCGTGAAAGATACTGTAATCTTCCAATGCAATGTTCAAAGATGAAATAAATATTTTTCTGTATTCATTGCCATGTTTATATATTTTTATTTACAAAACACAAAATGCCTGCTGTGGAATAAAAACATGTTTAACCGTTATTTCTATAAATCTTAATTAGCAATAAACTGATCTTTGATATTTATTAATCACTTTTTTAATTATTTAAAAAAGTTATTATATTATTAATTATTTACTTATTTATTTATTACTTATTTAATTATTAATACATGTATAGAATTTGTCAAATTAATCACTGATTGTTCTAAAGTTTTTATAATTAAGATTCGAAAAATATAGTCGCAAAATATTTTAAATATCTCTTCCTTTATATAAAATATAAAGAATTCATATGTTCCATTCTAATATAGTCAACATTATTTATATACTTTTATTATAATTTTCTTACTAGCATAATATTTTTATGCTTAATATTTTATATAATACAATGTACTAAATTATAAAATTTAATATAATTACAAAATAGTATTACTATTAATAAATAGGTTGTATTTATACTGTCTTTTAATTTCTAATCATTTCCAATCATTATGCATTTCTATTATCTATTTCTATTATCAATTATTTTCTTCTTCGAGTTCTTGGATTATTGTATATTCCTTGGTGTTAAAATCATAGGGATTATCATCATTTGTCATGCTTATTCCTTCCTATGGAGTCTATCGAAATATTTTCTATGGACATTTGTTCTCTCGAGTATAAATATTCAAATCACTCAGAGAGAGAGAGAAAGAGAGAAAGAGGAGGAGAAAGGGTTTGAGATATTCAAATCACTGTAGTTGTCTTTTTTCTATTTTCTCAATTACTGTCTCTTTTTCTTTCATTTTATTCAAAAATATTAATATTTTGATATCTTTCTTAGTCTGACTCTTTCCCTTGTCCGGCATAGGTAAGGCCTATCTAAGGCCGGCATTCATAATTCATTCTTATATTTAAGATCGTCTTAAGTAAGTTGGAAAATACAACTATTTTACTAACTGATCGGAATCTCAAGACGCGATCTAAGATCATACTTAAGATTATTTTAAATATAAAAATAGTTTACATATATGAATATCGGCGTATTATACGTTACTGCCGGCATAGCTTTTAGGTTCATTAGAGTACTCAAACCTCATCTGGCAAATGCCTCTGTGGAGATACGAGGAAAAATTTTTTTTTTATTTTATTTTTATTTTCTTTCAATACAGGGTTTAATACAAAAGTGAATGTAAAATATAATTTGAAACTTAATACAAAATAATTTTTATTTATTACATGGAATAATTTAATACACGAAAATGTCTCTAAAATATACGTATAATATAAAATTTACTAAAAATTTGTATATAGTCCAGACAAGCCCGATTAGCGATGATTAATTATGCAACATTTATCATTAATAATCGATATGCGATAATAGAATTTAATAAGTTTTATGTAACGTAAATATATATAATCGTGATTAAAAGAGTCATTAATAAAATTATTGATCATTTCTTCGATTATAGAAGAAAATATTTGCATTACTAGCGCATTTTGTGTAGATTATCAAAGGAAATATTCAAAATACGAAAAAATAAAATAAGCTTCAATGTAAATCAACAATTAAATTACAAAATAAATCGCGATTTAAAATTCGCGAGAAAACGCGAATAAATAAATCGATAATAATAGGAATATTCGATTACGAGAAATATACACGTATAATTTTTATAATATGATAATCAAAACTATCAATAGATACGCGCGCGACATAATTATTATCACACAAATGATGATACACGAAGATATTTTGATAAACATTTGTGGTCCGTATTGTTTATGAACAATTATTACTTTAATGATATTTATAGAATAAAATATAATTCCCGCTACGCTTTATCTCATTCTATTTTTCAATTATTTAAAATTTAATTATTTAATTTAGAATCAAAACGCACAGCAAAACAATCGAATCATAAATCGAAATTATTAACATAATAAAAAGCTTTGAGATACATCAAATTAACAAATATTATTTAATTAATCCATGTAATCTAAAACTTTTAGACACTTTAACATTTCGTGTATATGTTAAAGTACGTAAAATATATCAGCAGTGAATGGATAATAACACGATCGGCCTTGGCGGCGTATGACGCGCTGTGTTTACATGTACGGTCTTGATATCATTCACACGGCAACGTTCGAAGAGTAAGGTGCGAAATACTTCGTATATTATTAAATTTTTTCTCTAACGATAAAACACAATTATGACTAGTATTAAAACATAATTCGCTATGATAATTATAATTAGTACTTGCTAAACTTTTAATTGTAATTACTACGCGATCGGGAATGCCGTGCAAAATGTCTCGCGATTTTTGCGTATACTAATATTAATTAACTAATCTTAATTAATCTTGTTTTCAGGAGTGAAAGTGAGTGCAACGAAAAAATGTGTGAAGGAGAAGGAAAGCAAGTTTAAAAAGCACTGGGACACATACTAAACCAACATTATCCGGTAAATAGTTTATAAATTATTTATCATTTACATTTATCATTTATATTCAGATTATATTATATATATATATATATATATATATATATATATATCATTTATTCAGATCATATTATATATTGCATGTTTTCTCAATAACGATTTTCTCTCTTTCCCTCTCCCTCTCTTTCTCTCCCTCTCTCTCTCTCTCTCTCTCTCTCTCTCTCTCTCTCTCTCTCATTGTAAATTATCTAAATTATTTAAGTTTTTAAATTATATTAGTATAACATATATATAAAATATTCTGGATTATCTTATTTTAACGATAACACGATGTTCGATTTTGGCAATGTAAAATATAAACAGTAGCCCGCTATATTATGGCTTTGTCATTATTCGCACGGTGACTCTCGAGTAAAGTAGTGGTAAGAAACGCTTCGTATACTGTAATTTTTTTACTAAACACGATTACAGTTAGTATTGAAACATAATTTGCTATAAATATTGACAAAAATTAATTAATTAAAGATTAATTAACGACATGAAACTGTATCGCAACATACATCGATACAGTTAAATCTTTATCGAATCGTAATTATTCATTACCGCGATTAAAAATTGAAACAGAAAATACATAAAAAGGGATAGGAGAATTAAACATAATCTTTCGATCGTCGATGCTTATTATATTATATTTCTTTAATAATATTAAACTTAAATATATTTCGATCAATGCTTTAAATTTTCTCAATCCTTCTTAATTAAATACACAATTTAATCGAAAATCGATTAAATTATAAAGATCGAAAATAGTAAATAATCACTTCGATAATTGCGATTTTTACGGATAATAATTATTATTTCAATACTTAGAGTCACAAATATATTTCATCCGTGTTATTTTATCGTTCTTGACAATCAAAATATAATTTGGATTGTGAGAAAACACGAAGTAAAACAATCGAATTATAGATCCAAATAATTAATATAACGAAAAGAGTCGTGAAAAATTGTTTAATAAATAATGAATTTTAATCAATAAATTAAAATACTTCCATAATTTAATATTCCGCGTTAATGTATATTTTATAATATATAAAATATAAAAATATTTCAGCAACAAATTGTGAGAGAACACGAACTAAAATGGAATTATACATACAAATAATTAGCATAACAGGACTCCGTGAATTGATTGATAAATAATCAATTTTAATCAATAAATTAAATACTTTCATAATTTAATATTCTGCGTTAATGTATATTTTATAATATATAAAATATTTTGGCAACGAATTATCGATAACATGACATTCGACTTTGGCAATATAAAATATAAACAGTAGCTTTATATGTTACCGCTTTGTCATCATTCGCACGGTGAATCTCGAGTAATGAAATAGTGGTAAGAAACGCGTCGTATACTGTATTTTTTATACTAAACACGATTACGATTAGTATTAAAACATAATTTGCTGTAAATATTAATAAAAATTAATTAATTAAAAATTAATTAACGATATGAAATTGTATCTCAATGATAAATCTTTATCGAATCGCAATCATTCATTACTGGGAACAAAAATTGAAACATGGGATACGTAAAAGAGGATAAAAAAATTAATTATGTTATGATATCGATCAATGATGCTTATTGTAACATTTCTTTAACAATATTAGAATTAACTATATTTCGACCAATACGTTAAATTTTCTCAATCCTTATTAATAAAACAATATACAATTTAATCGAAAATCGATTAAATTATAGGGATCCAAAATATTAAATAATCACTTTGATAATTGCAATTTTTACAGACAATAATTATTATTTTAATATTTAGAATGACAAATATATTTCATCCGTGTTACTTTTTCTACTTGACAATCTAAATATAATTTCGATGTGAGAGAACGCGAAGTAAAACAATCGAATTATAGATACAAATAATT